AAGTACATGAGACTCTTATCTCCATTGAACCACCCCCAAATCCAAAAGTAGAGCTGTAGCTTAAGTGGTAGAGCACTAACTAGCCTTGAGCAAAAGAACTGAGTTCAAGCCACAGACAAAACCAGCACACAGATAAAATCAAATAAAAAATAACAATAAAAAATTTCACAATAAGAATATTAGCAACATTAAAAATATTTAAAAATCCACTTCCAAGCAATAAATTTACCAAAATATTTTATAGTTTTGAAGCTATATACGTGTGTGTGTATATATATATATAGAGAGAGAGAGAGAGAGAGCACTTCTCAATTTCTGAATATTTTCCTTGCATCCTTTTTGAGAATATCTGACAGATTATCATCTCTAATCACCCCAACAAGTGGGATCACTGCCACCTGCCATGTATTGACTGCTTACCCCAGCATTGCTTTCACTTGGCACTACTGATAATTTGAGTCTTTGGTATGCCACCTGTGCTTTGTAGCATCATGGGTCTCTATGCAGTAGATTCCCATATAGATGATGAACAACATCTCCTGGCAACAAAATCTCTAGTTGAGAACCAGTGTCTTATCCTATTCAGAAATCCCTCACCTATTGCAAGGAGTTACATTCCAGAGACCCCACAATAGGTGAAAATCTGCAAAGTAGCAGCATTATGTTTATTTAATTATTTATATGCATTTTAAGGCTTTTTAAACCCTTTCCACCCTCCTACCTTTCCTACTCTCCTATTAACCTTAATTGACATTTTAATATTTTATATCGTTTTAATTTTTAGGCAAAATAACTAAAATCATAAATATCATATAGATACCCATATACACTGCAAAAGGCTGTGATCTAGTGAAAACTGTAATACAGAATTATATCTGAATATATATATATACACATATGCATATGTTTAATACCCATGATACAGTGAAGCCACAATAAGTGAACCACCATATAGTGAGGACCGACTGTATTTGACAACATTTCATTTGTTTCTGCAGTAAGTGCAAGCTATATAGGACTGAATCAATAACAGATCTCACAGAAAACAAGCCCCATACAGCCCCATAGACTCAATGAGGGCACTGCTTACCATGAAGTGAACAGGGTTAACAAAACTGCTTAGAGACATCCTGACCATGGCAACAGCAAGAAGCCATTCCCATTCCTAGAGCTGCAGGGGAAAGAAGAGAAAATTTTTCCTGGAGATCTGGAGTCAAACAGCAGAGGACATCAGGAATATGTACATTTGTGGCCAGTAATAAGCACTCTACTGGAAAACATGTAAAATATCCAGACCACTCCCTACTTTATCCTTTTGTCACTAGCCTGTCCCACCTGTCCAATCAAAATGAACCCAAATGCAGTCCAACCACTCCCCCTAAAGGGTAAAGTGATGCACCTCCAGGACTCGGCTCCTGTGTACTCTGAAGAGGCAGGCAAATGAAATTTCTTCAACAAATGGAGAAAATCCAAAAGAATCAAAACCATGACCAGTTTAACATGAAAAATGGAGGCTTGTTATTAAATATTTCGTCTAAGGCCAAATAGCTAATATGTGGAACAGGCATTTAAATCCACACCTATTTGACCCCAGACACTACAAGGGCACTATCATACCTGATTTCCATGAATGCATTGATGTCCAACAAGACTGAATTACTCAAGCTTATTAGTTTTAGGTAGTAACTCTCTGAATGAAACATAGTTCTCATTCCTGTTCTAGTGTTTACTTTGTTACACTGGCCACTAAATGAAATTTAAAAGCTCTGTACAAATAATCCTTTATCAAATAGATCGACATAGAAGAAAGGCTATCTGTCAACTATAAACACTATCTGTTTGTGGAAGGCTTGTAAAATTCTAGGTTTCCTATAGAATGTTCTGGTGAGGGGGCTGGGAAGGTGGCTCAGTGGTAGAGTGCTTGCCTTGCATGCCTGAGGCCCTGGGTTCGATTCCTCAGCACCACATAAGCAAAAAAAGCCGGAAGTGGCGCTGTGGCTCAAGTGGTAGAGCGCTAGCCGTGAGCTGAATAGCTGAGGGACAGCGCCCAGGCCCAGAGTTCAGGCCCCACAACCGGACCCCCCCCAAAAAAAGAAGAATGTTCTCGTGACATATGTTATTTTTACTAGCTGTCCTCATTTTTTTTTCTTTCTGATTGTTAACACAAAGTCCTGCAATGAATACAGGAAGGCAGGCCTGAACATTGGGGGACTTGGGGCTCACTTGGTCATTCCTACCTTTGTAATATCCAGTAATACTTGCCAATAATATATTTTATAAACCTTGTCTTCTCTTTCGTAGTCACCTAGACATTCAGTCATTCCCAGGGGTCTTAGTGGGTGGCCATATCTTCAGAAGTCTAAAAGATACTGGATTTTTGTTTTCACCAAGAATGAAGAATCAGGCTTAGAAAGCCCTATTACTTCTGGTGGGGTTGTAGCTCAGTAGTAGCGCATTTGCCTAGAATGCAGAGGATCTATTGCTAGATCCTCTGATCCCCTCCCCATAAAAATAAACTAAGAAAGAAAAGAAGAGAAAAAGAAAGCAGTGGAATTTCACTGAAAATTCCATAGATTAGAAAGGATGCCATAAAGATCCTATCCTCCATCCTTAAACTGTAAATGCACTCTACATGCACTATTCTCGCCTCCACTCTGTGCTTTTGCTGTTTTGTTTTGTTTTTGATGCCCATCATGAGGCTTGATTTCATGTCCTGGGCTCTGTCCCTGAGCTTTTGTGCTCAAGGCTTCCACTCTACCACTCTACCACTTGAGCCACAGCTCTATACCTAGCTTTTTGCTGGTTAATTGGAGATAAGAGTCTCGTAGATATTCTTGCCCTGGCTGGCTTGCAACCACGACCCTCAGCTCCCAACCTCCGGAGTGGCTAGAATTAGAGGCGTGAACCCAGAGCACCTGGCTCACTTGGTGCCTATACTTTAGACAGCCAATTTGTACTGCTTTCTCCAGTTAGTTTTGTCATAAAGTCATATCGATATTGAAGTCTGGGCATCTGTCATATTTGTTCTTGGGTTATAGGAAAGAAAATAGGATACTTATTCAATAAGGATTCACAGTTTCTCTTCTTTAGATGAATGCCTTTATTATCTGCAGCTTTTTGGAGACAGGGTTGGTTAGTTTTAAAAGGAGTTATAAAATTAGGGAGTGGGTAACAATGTTCCACAAGAAATGTACTCATTATTATATGTTTGTAACTGTAACCCCTCTGTACGTCACCTTAAAAATAAAATTAAATTAAAAAGAAAACAATAACAAATAGATTCAAGTCGATATAGTCTCCCATTTTCTGCTCTTCTCCTGGATTAATTGGATGTTAAGGGCCTATAATGAGGGTCCTAGAAGCAACTCATTTCAGTTCTCTATCATGCTGAGCTTCTTGTTCTCAGCCCTGATTTATTCCTCACCTTCTGGGTTTCTATTTTTACAATATCTTCAGGCTCCCAGTTTTTCATGTTTTCCATATCTCAGGCATAAAAATCAGATGTACAACAAGCAAAATATACTTTCTGAGCTTAATTTTCCCCCAAGTTCTTATTCACCTAGTGAATTCCAAGTGTTATCTGTCCCAGTTTAGAGCTGCAGAGAAGGGAAAGAGAAGAACAAAGAGAGAATCAAGTTTAGATGTTCCAAGTCTGAAAGCAGAAAGGGCATGTGGCTGGGTTGGGGGGGGCAGGGACGACAACACTGTTAGCTCTACTTTAGCTATCCTTGTCATCTGGCAAAAAGAAAGAAAAGTTTTCAAAGAAAACATTTTTACCGAACAAAAATATCTAGCTATATTTTATCTGTGGTGGGTGATTACTGGTGCTTTGGGACAATGGCTTTATAATATTTATGGTTCTTGTGTATAAGGAAAGGTGGGTGAGCATTACTTTCTATATTTAAATGAATAGAATGGAATAGATGAATAGATCTGTACTTGGGTACAGATCCTGGCTTCACCTCCTAAAATTACTCACTTTGAGGAGATTATCTCCCTTCTGGAGTTTGATCCTCTCCTCACTATTATCACTTTATAAATATTCCATATGAATGTTTCTACTGTTAAAAAGTTAAATCTGATAGTATACTTAGAAATGTAGTAACATTGTGCGAATATTAGTTGTCAGATTTATTTTTTCTATCCTCACCATCCTCAACCATGGACTTCTACTACAGAGACTCTCCATATCCAAGGTTTCCATTCTTCTAATGCACAGTTATTTTTATTTTTTTTCACAGTTATTTTTAAATCCACTAAATGGCAACTTCAGAGCTGAACTATTTGGATTCTTGTAACTGAAGAAATAGTTACACGTGTATGGATAATGTGCTTCCAAACATACAATTTAAGTTTAAATGTTCCATTCTAAGACTTGGTTAGCTTCCTTTTGAACTAATGGTATAGTGAATATATAGAAAGGTTAATTCACAGTGACTCTAGTTGAGTTTGATGTTATTATACAGGATATATTTTCCCAAGACTTTAGGTTAGAAATGACTGACAAAGACATATTCCCAGAGTCAGGATCAGACATAAATTATATGCTACAAAGGTGTCTTCTTATTACCAGAAGTCAGGTCAACGTCTCAAAACTCACATTAAGTTACTGTTTTTGTGGCTATTGAGTTTCACCCTAGAGAGAATTAAGAGGCCTGAGGATGAAGTACAATAAATCTTACTCTAACCCAAACATAATTAGTGATTAAAATTCCCATTAACCATCCCAATGCTGCTAGATAAAGTAGAAAACTTGTTTTTGCTTCTTATTTACTTTTCGTGTGTACAAAAGTAGAAAACTCACATGTTTTATTTAAAATGATTATTTGTCTGTTTGATTAATTTGGAGTCAATGCCTTAATTAGATGCTTGAGTTTTTAATTTGAAAAGGGACCAAGCAAAGATTTAGGCTTTAAAACAAAACAAACAAAAACCAGGAGCGATTGGCTCTTTATTTATTTTTTTTAATTTTTATCTATTTTCTCTGTCTCAATCCCCAGCCTCTGAGCCCAACTTGAAGGTGCGGTCCAGGTTAAAACAGAAAGTGGCAGAGAGGAGAAGCAGTCCCTTACTCAGGCGGAAGGATGGAAATGTCACTTCATTCAAGAAGCGAATGTTTGAGGTGACAGGTAATTGAGGATTGGACAGCCATATACAGTACTAACAAATGCTGATAGTAGGAATTAAAATGTAGTTTAGAATAAACCTACCCATGGCATATTAAAAATTATTTGGAGAAGTGTTTCCTGGTAGGAAATGTTATTGAAAACAAGTCAGTAAACCATGCTATGCATGCAGGTACTGTGTTGGATCAGAAATGAGTGTTAAAAAACAGAGCTATGTGTCAATCAAGTCACAGCTAGGCAGCACCAAAGCTCTCCCTATTTTTTCCAGAAACAGGCAATCCATTCTGGAAACGCCAAAGGGAGAATATGACTTTTAATGAAATCTGATCAGAAATGAGCAGAGGGAGGTCCAAGAAGAACACTCCCCTCTACTCAGACATGAATGTACAAAATGCATCTGGGAAAAGTAAATTGCGTGGAACAGCAAAACTTTGACTTTTCAACAAATTTACAGAACTCATAAATGGCTTTATGTGTTTACTAGTGGACTGGGACTTCTGGCAGGAGGGGGGGTACATAGCTTTTTATGAAGGGGAAGAAACTGTCATTTTCACTAGTCTCAAATGGATGAGTTTATATTTTTTTAGCTGTCTGGTTAGTAGTTGGGTGAACAGGTTAAGAAATTTAACCTGATGTCTTATACCCCTCCTTTAGTCCCAGTTGGACATAGTTTGAAATCATATAAGGCCTAACAATGCAAGAACCAAAAAAGTCAGCCAAAATTATATGGTCTACTATGTATGTGTAAATACCACCATGAGCTCTACCTGGCTATTTTCTTTGGTAATATGTAACCATTTTTCTCTATTGTAAGTAAAACTGTCCATACGCTAGTGAAGCCGGTTGGTATTTGTTCTCCTACATCAGATCTTACTCCAATATGTAAAAAAATAAAAATAAAAAAATTGTTTCAGCTGGGTTTTGGTGAAGCTAAGATCTGAAGATCTTTGTTTGAAGCCTGCTTGAGCAGATAAATCCCTGAGACTCACGTCTCCAATTAACCAGCGAAAAGCCAGAAGTGGAACTGCATTTCAAGTGGTAGAGTACAAGCCTTAGCAAAAATCTAAGCCATAGTGCACAGGTCCTGCATTCAAGTCCTATTACTCCCTCTCCCCCACCCCCACCTCTCTGCCACACACACATACTCACACATTCTTTGTATTTAGTATCTCCTTTGGCCATGTGTCTAGTATAGAGCAGCAGTACAAGGAAAGATTGTAAAAGTCGGTATGGAAAAGCATTCTTGTATAGGCAACACTATTTTAACTTAAAAGTTTGAAGGGCTATTCAGGATAAAAGCAGCAACAACAGCAACAACAACAGCAACAAACTCTATGTAGTCTCTATTAAGCCTGATTGCTTGGTATTATGTAGTGAAGAGGGTTTTTTTTTTTTTTTTACTGAATATACTTGGAATTTTTTGTACTTGAAGGATAAGAAATGAGTAGCAAATAAGATTATTTCAGTAGAGCTAATATTTCTTTTCTAATTTTAAATAATCACTGATTTATGCCAGTTGAAGTCTAATTTTGAAATTTGTGGACTTTTTCTAAGAAATATTATTATATGTTAAATTGTTAAATATTCTAGGTAAAGTTTATTAATAGCTACCATTGGTGTGGTTGGGAAACTGAAAATTCTGTTTTAATGAAGAAAAAGAATAATGAATATTTCAATTGTCTCATGTGAATGGAAGAGGGTGATGTTTTTAACTGGTTAGAATAGGCAGATATTAACAGAAAAACTCAAGAAAGAGAGAAAAATATTTTTGCTTATTTTCTGCTTTGTAATCTTAATATGAAAGGTCACATTGGTTGATAAAAGTATGCTATTTGGATTTGCTTATCCATCTTTTTCTTGGTCTTGACTTTTTCCATTTTTCATCATGCATGCCTTTCATCCCAGCTATAGAAGAAACATAAATACTAGGTCACAGTTTAGAGTAGCCTGGGCATAAATAAAAACCCTAGTCCAAAAAATAACCAAAGATGAAAGTGTTGGGGAAATGGAGCGATTAACAGAGTGCCTGTTTCTTAAGGACAAGTTCAAGCCATGGTAGGGAGAATTTTTTTTCCTGTTTAATATTTTATGAGACTATTAACTTTAATTTTAGGAAATACTTGAAGCAAAACTTGTATGAATTTAGTAAACACAGATTTCTGCCTACAAGCTGGCACCTGTGGATGCTTCAGTAGATGTTTTTTTTTTTTTTTATCGGTTGCACTACACTTACACTAATTGTCTTTGGAGGCTCTGAACTACTGAACACAACTGCTTGCACCTGCACTCCTTCCCATTTCTTGGCCAACTTCCATCTAACTTGGATGAGCTCTGTTTGGATCTTAATAGTAAATATTTTCTAGTATCCAACCAGAAATCTGATTAACAGCATCACAGAAGTTAAACTGCCATTGCTGTCACTTGTACCATTATATCTTTCCCCTATTTCGTGGGTTCATATCTTACATTGTATTGAAAACCATGCTGCCTTCTCTTTCTATTAATATATGAGAGCCACTTGCTATTTTTAATTCTTTTCCAATTTCATGAGCTTTCTGCCTCTCCCTCTCCTCAAGGCTCAAAACTTTGATTCACTCCTATACTGGCAGTTTCTTTTCTGCCTCTCTTTTTTTATGTTTATGAACTACAGCTCCAATATCTAAGCTTTCTCAGTGTCCCTAGGAAAGCAAAGGCTGGGTTCTGCCTAGTATGATGCTGCAGAATCCTCTTCTAGTAGATGCTATGTGAATTCTGATGTTTATTGCAATAATTTCTACATAGGAAATACTTTGGTCTGAATATAACATAACCTACTATAAGTGACATAATTTAAAATTGATTAGAAAGAATGTTTAAGAAAATTGAAAAGAAAGAAAATATGGAAATATGAATGATACATAAATGAGACATGTGAACTCAAACTTAATGATAGTGGAAATATAATAGGTTTGTGTTAGGGACAAGGAGCTTCTGTAAGAACAAGAAGAGTATACATTTTCTTTTCTTTGCTTAAAACAAAACAAAACCAAAAACAGATAAAAAGTGAAGATGGTAAAAGACCAGATGACTCAAAAATGAAAGCAAGATAGATAGGCTGAATTTTATAAGGCAGACTATTTGTTCTAATGTTATAATGAATGACAATATCAGAATCATGTCACAGATTTCCAATTCTTTCCAGGGCACTGTGAGTAGAGGAGCATTTATAACAGAAAGTTGTAAAGTGTAAGAGTTGTCTAGTGGAGAGCAAGAAAACATTGTGTGGAAGTTGGGAGTTTCTGTTCTCTGGAGAACAGATAATACATAAGCCAGAATCAGAGTCTGCAGGTGGAATTGGGCCTCCAATGAAGTCAGCAAAGCAGAAGAAGATAAAAAGCATGAAAGAGGAAAGCATTTATTGCTAGAGAGAGTGACTTCTTTCTCTTGGCTGAGTGCAAAAAACACAACAGTTACACATAATAATAAGCTTTATTTTAGAGCAGGGGCCTCTGGTAAAAATTGTCTTGGGGTTCTTCTGAAAAGAGTCTGGGAGAAATTTTTGAAACTGCTGTAGCAACTAAGGAATAGTTGAAGACTTTCACCATTATTTATGAGAGAACAATGGGAGCTCTGAGAGAAATGATTATAGTTTATCATCAGTAAGAAGAACAAACGGGTGACTTCAAGGATAAGATAAAATAGACATAGGGAAAAATAATATTAAAATATACTTATTTTGACACATCTGTAATAGAAGGCTCAAAATATCAAGTATTCTAGAGGTACTCAGGCTGAAATTTAAGAGAATTAAAAGCAAGAAATATAACTTCCACAAGGGCATGCTGTCTAAAATTACATTGAACGCCACAATATTGAGTGATTTTGACAAAGGAAAGAGAAAAGGGAGAAGGACCACAGCTTAATTGCATATATTTAGGAATTGGTAGAAGGGAGAAAGGAAAGAGCTAAGGAATCATGAATAAGGAAGTAGAGAATATTTCTGTAGGAAAGATTAAGAAGATGAGGTTTGTTTTGTCAAATTTCAAATTTGGTGACATTTGAGAGAACAGTTGCAGTTACTAGTGAGTAAGCTGTAATGCCAGGGCTGGAAGGAGTGCGTAGGCACTGGCAAGCACACTGCTCCTCAAGAATAATTACCATGCTACCAGACTGGGGAGCAGGGAAGGGGGGGCAATCCCAGGAGGGAGGGAGGCCTTGGAAGATTCAGAATAATGAATGAGGATAGTAGTAGGGAAGGCAGAAGAGCACTGGGTGCACTGGAGAAGAGAAGGAAGAGAAATGACTTGCCTGAAATGGGTAAGGAGAGTATAGGTTAAAAACAAACAAACAAACAAGCACCATGAGATAGAAAAGGTGCATGTGGAAATCAGATGGAAGCTTCACTTTGAAAAGCATGAGACAAGAGCAATTCTGCAGACTTGGCTAGCACAGCATAAAGATGAGGCAAAGAGAAAAAGGTTGAAATAAAAAATCTGTAGAAAGAAAAGGAAGGAATTAGAGTTCAGTGAATAATCTTCCAAAACATGATTTAATGATCTCTCTAATAGTCTTTCTAGCAAGATTTTTATTTTTAATTAAATTTTTTAATAAATATATTAGTTTCGTTATAATTTGGAGTCCATGTGAATTTTATTTTTCAAGAGGAAAGAGATTAGTAAATTTTAAAAAGAGTACTAGTAAAATAGTATTTTTATCTGTCATTGCTTAAAAGAATTTATTTTTATACTAGTGTTAAAATATTTACAAGTCATATTAAGACAGCTTTTCATTTCCTAAAGAATTATTGGGTAAAGTTAATGTCAACTAATATGTTACAAGGCTGTCATTGTAGTGTTGAGATATTAAATTCTATTTTCTTCATACAATCTTGATTCACACAGGCTATAAGAGATAACCTTAATATATAATTTAAGCAATTTTTCCTATCGCAGCAGGGATTGCTCTGAGTCTTTCTTCAGCATTGATGTCTTGCTTTTGTTATGTTCAAAAAACTCTATCATTTTTTATTTTTCATGGTAACACAATAATAAGTAAGAGAATATTCTTCGCTTGCTTTGATTTTTTTCCTTTTTAATAATATCTATGATCTTTTCTCACTGGATGTATTTGCTTCTCTAGAAACTGTTGAATACTATGGCATGTTTTTGTAGTGAGCACAAAGATGAGAAAAATTGTATGAAGTCTAGAAACATTCCATATGTTTTCCTAGTTTTTTAAGTGAAACTGTACTTACTGTTCATGGAGAGATAAAATAAAGCATCACCTAAAGCTGTGTAGTGCAGCAATGAAGTTCATCCTTGCATATACTTTGTTATGAATGCATTTGCACTTAACAATATTTTTCAGAATCCTCAGTCAGTAGCAGTTCTCCTGGGTCTGGTCCCAGTTCACCAAACAATGGGCCAACTGGAAATGTTACTGAAAATGAAACTTCAGTTTTGCCCCCTACTCCTCATGCTGAGGTAAGCTCATTGTTAAGTAACTGGTTCCCTGATTAGCTACCTAATCCACAATAGTATTTCTGAATGAAATTTCCTATATTACAAACTTGTAAGAGAAATAGTGTATATTTATGAATGTATAGAAAGTTGTGTTTAATAATGTTTTCTTCTTGAGACAGATCTATGGAATTGAGTAAATGTGATTGTATTGATAAATGGCACAATTAAGGACATTTGGATGATATATAATGTTTGAAAAATACTGAAATACAATCGTCAAATAAAATATTCTCCTTGATCTCAAATATGCACTGTCCAATCAGTGTACAAATTCATAATCTTGCTTGGTCACTGGTTATTTTTGATGATAGTACACACATGAGTAAGTTGAAACAATTTCACATGGAATTCCAGAATAGCAGCTAATAAGGTGGTTTTACTCATCTGTATACAATACAATGAAAAATAATGGAAGTTTACACTGAGACAGGAAATCCATGGAACCAGCATTTACTGAGCACCTGCCACATACCAAATCTTGTGCTGTCAATTGGCATAGAACAGAAAATATTATCTGAACTCTATTCTTGAAAGTAACATATGAAAGGAAAATACTTTAAAATAACATTATTATAGTAAAGGAAGGAATTCTGAATTTACATATCTTCTGAATTAGGCTGAACAAAGGTATCAGTATAGAAGTGGCAGCTTTTTGAATATCATTGTTTTGAAGTTACTATTCGTTGACTAAAAGCATGCGCTTTTGTTTCCTGTCATTGTAATACCTTCTTCACTATGAACTACTCCTATAGAGGCAGAGTTGGTGTGATAAGCTCTCATAAATAGCTATGGCATGTTTCTTGCCTACTATTTTACAGAATGCTTGTGCTTCTGAGACTGATCACATCTTTCATGCATAGATTAGGCCTATAGATTTCTCCCTTGTTTATCTCCCCTTTTAACAGACCACTTCTGCCTATGGAGAACTCACATTGCTGTCTCTTGACACAGTTGATTTTAAGGGATTATTTTGACTGAAAGAGTTTCTTGCAGATATTGTTGAGATACCTATTGTTTTATATTGCATGTGCAGTACATGTACACACAAACAAAACTCTGCATATATACAATGTATGATTAGACATTATGAAACTGCTAGGCTGAAATGCAAGTAAAAATGGAAATGTAGGGATTATCCTTCATAAAGGGCTGAAACCAGGGAAGTCACTTTTGCTTTGAGGATATTTGCTTTCTTGAGTTTTGAGGTTTGGTTTTCATGGCCTAATAAAATTCAGGAGATAGTAGAGAAAGCACAGTGTTAACAAAGGAAGACCTAACAGGAGACCCTCCCATCACTAGTCAGGGATCCCAACCATCCATGCGACCTTTGTGAGACGCCTTCTCCACCCATAGCCATCTTGATGGGAGTAGAGCTTAAAACATTGACTCAGTGAAGATCATGGACCAAATCTTGTCAACTCAGGAAGTTAATTTGATTTACAGTGGCTCCACATTTGTTGTCCCTCCCTACCAAATGCCTGCAAAAATGCAAATGTGAATTCTTTCCAGAGATATACGTCTTCATTCTAGGTTTCATTTTTTTTCCCCTCGAATCACTTTTCAAAAGATAGATGGTTTTCCTTATGACCATCTCTCAGCTCCATGAGGAATAATATTTCAGCTCTGGACATTATCTGTAGGACCTTCATCTGCTTCCTGTTTCTAATCATCCATCACCCCTCTTTCTCTTTTTTATTATTATTTTTAAAATATGACAACAGTTGGCAATAAATTCTACAGGAATTTTGTGATGAGAGACAATAGTGGGTTTATTTTTAGGTATTATGTTTTAGTGAATGTAGTTATAGTCCAATACTTGTCAATTTTCTGAAACACTTTAATCAATTTCCTGGAAGAGAACAATTTGATCACATACATATTTTTTAAAATCTTAGATTTGATTTTTTTTCTAAGTTTGAATAATGTAATTCACAATACTTCATGAATATTAGAGGGTCCAGGGCTAGTGAGTCTTTGGATGGATTTTATTTTTTTTTACCATTGGAAAATGAGAAACACCCATTACCCTTAATTCAATGTCTGAAGCCCTTAGAGGGGCATTTCCAACACAGTAGGATTCAGGAGGTCACTTACGTGCTGTAGCTTTACATTTTATTAGGTTCTCAAATAATACTACAGTACTTTAAAGTAGTAAGAGAGTGATGGACACAAAATTTAGCATGACAATTACATTTCAGGATAGAAAAAGGAGAAAATGTGAGTTGATACTAAAGAAGACACACCTACATATAAATATATACATATAGTACTTTATACAACATATAAACATTAAAATATACACCTTGGTGGGGTTGAAAATAAATGGAAAAAGTGGGATTTTCCTTTTTGGCTTATTTTCTCTTTTATGACCTATCAAATTAAATTAAATGGCTATCTTAGATTATCTGACATTAATTTTAAAGATATATATGTACATGTGCACACATATATATTTAATTGAAAATATAATTAAGGGAAATTTGCTCATATTATTTTAATCTGTGGCATATTCCTGTTTCATTGTCACAAGTTATCTCTTTGCATGCCCTGGGTGTTCAGCTAATGGTTGAATATATTCTGTCACTGTAACCCTTTCCTTCCTCCCCCACCATTCACAAAAGAAAAACAAAACAAAACAGAAGGAAATGTGATTTAATGGAGTTTAAAAGGGTAGAGGTGTTTCTTCAGGTCATTGACAGGACATTCACCTCCAGAGCTGGGAAGACTAGTTCAAAAGCAAGCAGTGACTTACCTCATAATGAATTAATTGTATGCCTGAACTATGATCCAAAAGGCCAGGTGGGCAGACCTTTCTGCACTGATGGGTAGCCTCTCTGTGGCCCAGAACAAAAAATGCAATCCTGATGGCTACCATGTGTTTTCTGCTGGGTTCTGTTTACAGAGGTCTGTAGTGTAATCCATTCTGGGTAGGAAGGGAGGCAGCAGAGTTCAGACCAAGACCCTCAGTAAAGTAATATCCTAGCTTTGTAACACTCAAGGCTGCCAACTAGAGAAACTAGAGGAAGAAAAATGTCCTAAGCCATACTTGGTTAGCCATCCTCCAGCGTTTTGTATGATGTTTTTTTCAGCTATCTTCTAAGATTAATACCAATAATATGTGATCTTGTTTCAATAGAAGTAATTTTAGGTGCCAAGTATTTGTATCATTATTTGCATAAAAACAAAACCACAAAAACAACTTAAGTGTATACTTCATCATTTGCAAATTAGGCTTGTTCTGCTGTCTTCACTGAAATAGCATAAGCTAGTTTAGTTCAGGAGTGATATATATTTGAATGAACTCTAGTATATGACATGTAAGTGGGCTAAATCTTTCAGAGCCCATGTGCACAGGATTCTATCCCTTGTGTTGCTTAGGAAATAGGAGCGTGAGGCCCTATCTGAAGTTCTTGAACCCTTCATGAATGAAAATATCCCATACTGTAATTCAGATATCTTATCTATTTTAGATAAAAGAAAGACAGAGGTGGAAGGAGAATTCAATGTTGAATTCATAATGCAATGCTCAAGAAACAGCAGAGTGTAGGTGAATTCATAGGTGTTCCGGTCACCAGGCAGGGTATGAACTCTGCTGGAGAACCAACTAGTTTCTTGTCATTAGCCGTGTCTCCAAACTTCCCCGGATCCCTAGATTTCTAATCTAGTTTTTAAAAAAAGGTAGTTAGACTGTTGACAACTTCGTTGTAAGCGCTGTTTGGAAGGCAGGTGGCACGTTGTGAAGTTTGTAAGGAGTACATTTTTGTTTTTATTATCAGTGCTGACTCCTGGTAGGGAGAACTCATTAGCTTGTTTGTCTCCAAGCCAGCAATTCTCATGTGAGAGTGAGCCTCCATCTGCTCTGACCACTTATGTTCTACTTCTTCTATTTCTTACATATGCTCGGTCCCAGAACTCAGATGGTTGAGCTACTTGCTCTACTCATTTGTAAACTTGGTTGGGAAGCTGAAGCCTCCAGGGTTGCTATTTCCGAGTTCTATTAGAGATGTCTTTACCTATCTAGTTTCTTTAGTGCTAATGTTGTGGGTCTGTGGGTTAAAATATGTTTCCATGGATATCAGCATCGTGACTTTAGATTTGGTAAATTTATTTGATAGCTATTTTAATAGTAGCCAAGCTGCTGGTTTATTTCTTGTTGAATATTAGTGATTTCTTGTTGAATATTAGAGATATCTGTTTCCTGCAGATACAAATGATTTTTAAAAATGGTTCTAATGATAAGCTTATGTGTTCTTAAATCATCTGAAATGTCACTTGTTTTGCTCCAATCTTATATGAATCAACCACCTATTGTTTTGTACTAGTTGTTGTGATATTTGTTGTAAATATAGTGTTTTCTTCTGAGTGGGTGTAGAGCTATGATTTTAGATGACAACAAGGAAAATATACACACACACACATACACACACACACACACACACACACACACCTGGGAAAAAGATGGCCCCTACACAATAACCAATAATCATTTACTAACAATTATATGAGTCAGTATTTTAAAATGAGATCTTTATCAAAGCATAAATGCAAGGTGTGAAAATCACCCAAAAAGCCCTTTCAAATGATTAGTTTGGGTCTCAAAACTCACTTTATGACATTTACATCAGCTGAAAAGATATGTTCTTGAGTTTGCAGAGAAAAGTATGAAAACTTAGACTTGTATTGCCTAAACAACTCAACTGTAAATTATGTTGAACTTTAACTTTTTTGTTCAACTACTAAAAGTAGGAATAGATACAGTCTTGAAAAATAGCACTGAAAGTCATAGTTGAACATTAAATGAATAAAGAATAATTTCTAAATGTTTCTCTAAAATATCTTGATTCAGGACTTTGAAACTTTCTAGATTCAGAGTTGACTAACATTTATGAACACATCATCCTGTATGTCATTCAGATCCATATGAATATTAGAAATAGTCAGAGGTGTGTCAAGCCAAGGCTGAAGAAAACACAATGGCTGATAGACTCACAGCAAGTAAGTGGAAGAGCTCAAGTATCAGATATGTAGACCAAACTTCTTTTCACTATTCTGTACTTTTTGTTACCAAAACTTTATGATAAGTATTTTTTTTTTACTTTTCCATTGCTCATGCATATTATAGGTAATTTTGAATTCACGGTAAACTGAAAATTGTGTTTTTACTTTGCTGTGAGCTTCTTAAAATTTGATGATTAAGTTATGTTACTAGTATCCCATTGGATATCATCAGTTGACTAATTGTCCTCTTAGGAATAAATAAGACATTCATTTATCTGTCTGTCCTCCTCCCCTCCCCCTTCATTCCTCATTTCTTTCTGCTTCTTCATCTTGTTTCTCTGCTTCCATTTTTCCTTGCCCTCACAAGTAGTCATTCTCTCTGCATTTTGGTGATATGGGTATTTTCATAGTATGCTATTTTTTATCTGTGCCTTATGAATTTTTGGGTTCTTAAGTTCATTTCCTTTCTTTATATCACTAAACATGATTTTTAGGACTAGTTGCATCTTTATGGATGCTAGTAATCACACACACACACACACACACACACACACACACACACACACACACACACACACCATGTTGGCACTGCATCGTTTTATCCAGGTAGATGTGAGGCAGGCTCCAACTCATATCCATCATCAGAACAGGCTTTAGTATCTATCATGGTCATCATGACTGTCTAGTGAAAGGATTTCTTATGGTTTCTAGCACATAGGAGTCATTAGGCCCTGGTGAATAGTATAAGTGCTGGAGTTTACAGGGCAAAATCATTAATAAGAATTCCTGTATTATTCTACAGTCTTGCTAGCAGTATGTAAGAGGTTTTGGTTCTCTATATTCCTGCTTTTGCCATTGTCCATTTTGGAAAAGTGAGTCTTTTACTTGAATCTTTTACTTGAAACTGGTATCTTCTTAATTTCAGTTGCTTACTAAATAGTTGTATTGAGAGACACACAATTTTTTAGTCTATGTGTATTCTACTCATCTGAATTATAAATATCATCTATAAGTCATTCTTCCACTTGATGTGATACTAAGAAAAGTGTTTATATATAATTTTGAAGGCTCTTACTAAAATGGGAGTCAGTGTCCTCTACCCCAGTTCTAAACTCGATTCCTATTTCTCATCTCAAAATTCTGCTTCTAGAAAGCTGCTAGTGACCCAGGAGAGCCTAGTTTTAAACTGATAACCCTCTTCTGTGCTATAAAAATATCATAACCCTACTTTAACAGTAGAGTTTATGATGGGACATTCAAATTCATTCCTCTATTTTTCTATATGCCTGACTAATATGGATTTTTGAGGTCTAGGGCATCTTTATATACCTAGAACTCAACACCATCAATTGAACACAGAGCAGTTAATCATTATAGCAAGTTATGTGAGAGTTATATCAGACACTCTATTTCCATTTCATTTCCAATTATGAAAATTTTCAGATTAAATCTAACTTTCCTTTGCTCAAAGACTTGAAATGTCATTTTTAGCAGCACAGCACTAATTAATGTCGGATCACTTTAAAAACTGATTGCTGAAAGAACCCTGGTTTTACAAAAAAAAGTCCTTGTGGATGCCACCACAATGCTAAGCCCAGGTAGCCTTCTGGCCTGGCAAGAATACCAATCAGTCAGACTACTTCATTGGTATGGAAGGATGTTTCTCCTCACAACCTGTCTGCTGTCTGCACTGTTAGAAGTGGAAGATATGGTTCTGAACTTTAGTAAGAGGCATAGCCTAGCTAGAACAGATAGTTTGTACCAAAAATGCTTAGCTGAGTGACATTGGATTCGATGAAGGCAATTTGAGAAAAGGTGGAGGTTCGTTTTCAGTACTGTTAGATGTGATTCTAGACAGTGAAAGTCTATAAAACCTCTGTTTCTGTTTCTTATCTGCATTTGGATTTAAGTTAAGCAAAACCCAGACCCCTGGATGTTCTAGCATATGATGTCATACCTGTCAGTTTCTGTGGAAAGAATCAGCTATGCTTGCAGACATGAGGACAGAACTTCCTCTGCATCCTTAGGAATTGTCTATGAAGTTACTGGGGCTTGCTTTTCGCATGGAACACAGTGAGCTCCTCCAGTTTCTCCTCTCTGTACTCGCCCTCTCCTACAGTGCCCATCGTTCTTTTGTCTTCCAAGGCAGCTGAGGAATGGTGTGGGCATTTGGAGGCAGCACCCAGGTGTTCTTGATGGTCCCACCAGACAGCAGGATGCTCTGCTCACTTTTCTTGTTTTCCTCATCTTCACCATAAGCAACATGGTAGCTTGAGAATGCTCATGAAGAATGGGTTCAACCCCAAAGGGCCCCTGGCAGAGGATGTGGCATGTGTTAGCTGCCAAAATTCAGCATACTGCTATCTGATATGGAACAGCTGATGTTCGTAAGATTGCAGGCCCCTACAGTCTCCAGCTGAGGAATATCCCCCATTCCTTTCACTTTACTCAAAGTCAATGTGAGGAGCCTGCCAGCTGCTTTGCCATTACCACGTGTGAGAAGAAAGCTATTTCTCATTTCAATGTGTCTGCTTCCTGCGATTAGGTGAGAGACTATCACAGACATTCTCTACAGGAATCTGATAACCTCTTTCGTGAGGGTGGTGGCATTGTGTATTTGTGTCCTTGTGATAATCCAGGACAAGTCAGCAGTATGAGAAGCAGACACAACCTTGAATGAATATTATCTATCAAAGTATTTACCCCGTCACATTCACTTCTTTTCTGTGAATACAGATCAGTGAATAGTCTGTCTTTTTATTTTTGATTACTGACTACTACAATTATAATAATACATAATTTATTTTATTTTTGGTCTACATTCTTATCAGGCACATATTCTACACAAAAAAATTATGTTTTTGTAGAAGCAAAATCGTTGCTTGGCTTTTTTGCTTAAGGCCGATAGACAAATATTGTGAATAGCTTCTCAGTTGTTTTTTCAGTCAGTGACCATGGTTTGGCATTTTAAACAACTTTATAATACAAAAGCAATGTAAGGTTAATTGTTCACTGTGCCATTTGATTTTCATGCAAAAAAATCTACATTAAACTGGACTGCTAAGATGCCACAAGAAATGGCCACATTTAACCTCTTGGTCTTATTATGTTAAGGGCAGGACTCATCTCCAAACAGCCGTATGATTGAGATGATGTTTTGGAATAACATCCTGTGTTTTGGTGGTGCAGCACTCTTCAGTGACATGCTGAGGTTGCATTGTATTAGCACATGATATTTTCCTCAGTTAATTGATATCCCAGGTTTGTCCAGAGGAAAATCTATAGCTCCCCCAAACATGCTTGACAAGTTATTATATTTACTTTAGTCAAAGCCCGTGTGTGCAATATCCCTCTTGGAGGTGGTCTATTATTGGAGTCCCATATGCTTTTTGTTTGGGAAGAAAGCAGTCAGTGTGTCATACTGTTACATGGCGTATTCTTTTTCAGGGATGTTGTTCCCTTGGGAACCATATCAGGCCAGAGTTCCTTAGTCTAATAAGACCTTTGTAACTCTTACTGTATAAAAGTTCTGGGAGGGAAGCAAGAGTTAAACAGAAAATGTAATTCAAGCAACCATATTAGGCCACATGTGGGAAAACATGACTCTTAGTATTGGATTTAAAAAAACACAAAAATAAGGCTATTTATTGTAAAAAAAAAAGTGCTGAAATGCCAAAATATTCTGTATATTTCAGCATAAGTGGAGGTTGTTATGGTGTATAGAACTGATAACATTTCTAACATTTACTTTAATTTCTAAAGATAAATGATCTTAATTAAAACAGGAATAGTTGACTTCATGAATTTTTATACTAAGTAGATAGCTTATTATAGATGTTTTTGTGGTGGTACTTAATATAAGACTTTCTGCTCTGCTTTTCCTGGGTAAAATAACAAACTCACATGAAGTTCATGATGATGACATTATATATAATTTTTTTATTTGCTAGTAGACAAGGTTTACAAACACTTATCAGAATGACCACATTTGATTATGTAACTTTGCGAGCAGGTAAAAACCATATATACTGAGTCTAGAAAGTTTTTAATTGACTTTTGCAAAATGAACTTGGGAGTCCTTTCTTTAGATTTTTGTCATTGTCTGAAGAAGACAGAATTTATTTAATTCTTACATTGTAACTCCTCAATACAGAAATCACAAAGCAAGTACTGACCTTTATTCTTATCTACAATCATGCAGAGCTTGGTTTATCAAAGGCAATCATTTTATGTTCGTATTCTTGACACTGTGATATTTTGAAAATCTTTAAAAACTTTATGCATTTTTTTCACAGCAACTGGTTTCACAGCAGCGCATCTTAATCCACGAAGATTCCATGAACCTGCTAAGTCTCTATACCTCTCCTTCTTTGCCCAACATCACCTTGGGGCTGCCGGCAGTGCCCTCGCCACTCAGTGTAAGTTTGGGCACAGTCTCAGCTTAAACAGCCCCGTGGACATTTTCATGTGCAAACTTCCTTTCACTTTCTGTACATGCAGATGTTAGAAAACGTGTTAGAGTCAACCATCCCTTCGTTATTTGCTTTTTGCTTCATTCTGATGTATTCAGATTAGTTTCAGGTTACAGAATTATATGGGTTCAAAAAGTCATATATAAAACTAGCTAGCATTCATATTATAGTTTACACCTTAAAAATAAATACTCTCCACATTACCTTAGTACAGCCCACTATTTTATGGAAGAAAAAGCTGAGAGAGACAGGAGAATAGAAAAGTCCAGATAACAGACCAGTAAGTGGTAGAGCTTGGGCACACTCCAGGTCAGTACTGAGAGTTACAGCTTCTAAAAAAAACCCCAAACCCACTGTAACATATGTTTATGAAGTTTATTTTGTGAATGACTTTGTTTTGGGAATTACCAAATGTATGGTAAAGAAATATATATCTGGAAAAACCTCTCCAAGAACAACAGTACACTATTCCTAGGAGATTAGAAGTGAAAATTAGTTTAAAAATCTTGACAACTGAAATAGGATTTTTTGGAAAGAGGTAATTGTCCTACTAGCAAAAGATAGCAGTAATTATTTGATGCATATTCTAAAAAATAATATAAGTGTTAGTGGTTGCAAAGGACTTACAGCTTTATGTATAGTATTACTTATCTCTGAAAAGTTAGTTAAATTAAACTGTGTACACATAGAGGTTATGTGATGATTTAGGTTTAAAGAGTTTCTTTGTTGTCATTTATTTTAGTCATTCACAGCAAGTATTTTACTGAGCCCAGTATGTTAGATTCACCTATTTTTCTATATATATTTATATATTTATAGAACCAATATATGGGTTTTTTAAATCATTAAATTTTGTATTTTATTCTATCTGCATTTTTAAGAGTGTCTTGCTGGCTTATGTGTTACTCTGGTCTTAAGCCAAATGTGATTTTATATCTGGAGATTAAAGAAGAAAGGCTTTCGAATCCTGCCTTCAGCCCTGCCATTGAAAAATCCTCATGGAATATTATTTTAAAATTAATACAAGTGGGAAAAAAAGACAATTAAGATCGATACCAAAAATAGTCTTAGATAACTTTTTCCTCAATTCCTTTTATATTCCCTAGTATAAATAAATAAATACTAAACCCCAGACTTCTTATAAAAGTAGCCATTTTGTTGTCTCTACTTTTTCTCTGCTCTAAGATACTCCTCTTTTACTAACTCATACATGGATACCACTTTTAATGTGGTGAGAGAAAATGTTTCCCCAAAGGACCAAGAACTAAAGCCAGACCATTTAATGTTTCGATAGTAATACAATTTGGTACCACTGGATGAATAAACCAATGTGGTTTGGATTAAAGTTTCATTTTTCTTTGCTTCCATTTTGGTGTGGATGAGGCCATCAGAGTTAATTTCTCAAGCTTAGCATTGCTCTTCTAGAAGGATCTCTAATATCCCATTTCCCCACTGAATAGTGGGAAAATTTGAGAAAAAGAGGCCAGCACCAGGCATCACTTCTAGATTAAACATTGCACTGACTTGCTCTGTGACTCAGACAAACCATTTACCTCTTTGTCCTTCAATTTCTCCATCACTGAAAATTGCTTTGCCTCCCTGGTGCACAGCAATTTTGAAAGATGAAACATGAGTTCTGAAAAGAAACACGCCACATAATTTTGAGGTATTAGACTTCTGCTTTTGTAATACCAAAATAACCACCATTCATTACATTATTTGAATAGGATAATTCATTATTACTATTGATGATATAATTGTTATTGCCTTATTACTGTGTTATCATAAATTTCAAGTTCTTAATAGCCTTTTTATTTGATATTTGATTTCACTTATAGTTTACTTTTACATAAAGTATCTAGACTGTCATGTTTAATGTATAGAGATTTGAAGATCTGTTATGAATTATAAAATACAGGCTTAAATGAAATTCTTGCATATTTTGTACCTCCTTTCATTGAGTTGTTTTAAGAATTCTGCTTTAAAAATTAAATATTGGAAACTTACAGCTTTAGAAAATTATTAAAGGATGTGAAGAGAATGTGTGCTTTGTTTCTTTTGCTTGAAATTTTATGTTTACAGGTCTTTTTTATCTTAATACCTATGAGATACACTCTGTAGTTTAACTGTAAGGATAAATTTTACTTAGTTGGTGTGTTATAAACTATTTTAGGAATAAAATTTCTACCTCTTAAACTTGAAATTAACATCATCTTTAATTTTTATTGACATATAAAAATTGTATTTTCATTATGGTTTGTTATTATTTGCTTACATATGTGAATGACTTGATATATATCATATATATATCAATGACTGGATAGATATAAATAACATATATAAATATATATATACATAAATATGATCTTCAACCATTATATATAAAAATGAATTTGGCTAGTTACCATAGTCTTCTTCACATATTTATTTTGCAGGGATGGTGAAGACCCTTCACCATCCAAATTTATTGAAAATTATTTGTGGAACAGTGGTCACTATCATATGTAAATAAGTAATAGGCCTCCTGAACTTTAGCTAAATAAATGTTTTTTTTGTTTTGTTTTTTGTCGGTCGTGGGGCTTGACCTCTGGGCCTGGGCGCTGTCCCTCAGCTCTTCAGCTCAAGGAGAGCGCTCTACCACTTGAGCTACAGCGCCACTTCCGGTTTTCTGGTGGTTTATTGGAGATAGGAGTCTCACGGTCTTTCCTGCCCGGGCTGGCTTTGAACCGCGATCCTCAGATCTCAGCCTCCTGAGTAGCTAGGATTACAGGCGTGAGCCACCAGCGCCCAGCCTAAATAAATGTTTTATTTCATGTTTCAATATAAAAATTTGCCTTAGATTCAGTGCAACAATATTCAATTACTAACTTGTTTTCAGTGCTTCAATCCTTTTTTTTTTTATTTCTTCTTTATAAATTCAGCTAGTTAAAAAGCATAGTGTTATCTACTTCCCTGATCCAATCATTGGTAAGACAGCTTTTTGTTTTGGAAAACCATAGCATAAGAACTTCATCTCATGATATAAGACCCAGAGCCCCACTGGATGGAAGATTGACATCTTCATTTTTTCTTGACACAGGCTTCAAATTCACTTAAAGAAAAGCAAAAATGTGAGACACAGACGCTCAGGCAAGGTGTTCCTCTTCCTGGCCAGTACGGGGGCAGCATCCCAGCCTCATCAAGCCATGCTCATGTCGCCCTAGAGGGGAAGCCCAACAGCAGCCACCAAGCTCTCCTGCAGCATTTATTACTGAAAGAACAAATGCGACAACAAAAGCTTCTTGTGACTGGTAAATGAATCATGGCACCTTTTAGACCTTAACTTTCATTGGTCCAGTTTAACATCTCTGTAATTCAATACCTTCTTAATGATTTACTGTGCATTATAAAGGTCATCCTGACTCTTAGTACTATAGAAAGGCCAAAATCCTTGTTATTTCCCCACATACACGGAGGGGGCTTGTGGAGGAAACTCACCTCATTTGACAACATCACACATACCAGTCTGGACCCCTTCTGGTTGACAAGGTCAAACATAAACCTGTTTATGACCTTGATACTTGGTCTTCTGCAACCATCCTAGCCTTAAGAAGTTTGCTGGCAAATGGCTTCTTCTCTCCTTAAAATTACTTGTGTATGCATCTCTGTTTACACTGGCATACAAATACATGCACATTTTTTTCAGGTGGCGTCCCCTTACATCCTCAGTCTCCATTGGCGACAAAAGAGAGAATTTCACCTGGCATTCGAGGTTCCCACAAATTGCCCCGTCACAGACCTCTGAATAGAACCCAGTCTGCACCTTTGCCTCAGAGTACATTGGCTCAGCTGGTCATTCAGCAGCAACACCAGCAGTTCTTGGAGAAGCAGAAACAATACCAGCAGCAGATCCACATGAACAAAGTAAGCCACCAAGTGAAAATATATAACCATTGATCTCAGTGGTATGTGTAGATAAAAGACAACATTGGGATCAATCAAAATCCAAGAGAGATTATCATCTTAGCCCAGCTCTCTGGACTCAAGGACATCACCACACTGTCTCTATTTGTGACATCATTATGTTTATGGCACATTTGTAGCAAAAGACTGAGATCCCAATTAGCAAGATATGTTATGATCGATTGTCTGTTTTCATAGATAACCATTCAGACATATGATATAAAGCCCCATATTTTCGTATTTTTTGCAAAAATGGCAAGAGGCAGAGTTGAGCATGTTAGGTTAAGTCAAAAAAGTTTCACAGTTGCTAATAAATAGGACAAGGTTATCCAATAAGATATTTCTTTGCAACGTGTATATCCCTAGGATGTACTTTTTTTTTTAGTGCATTCATTTCATTTCAAAAAGGATTTGTAGCAATTTTGCTGGGACATGTGATAGTTTCTTTGTGACAGCCTTATTGTGACATAGCTTTAGGAGTAGGCCTGCTGAAACCACAGCAAATAGTGATTCCAATACAATGATATTAGGTTGCTAGTGCATTTTCTATGAACTTGTAGGTGCCCTGTGTCATTTCCTAGTATCTATAGAGATATATTGCTAAATAGACAGCACAATTTGGCTTTGAATTAAGAGCTTTATTGTAACATAAAATAAATATTATAAAACTTCCGGGCAATGGTCTGAGCACCTTTCTAATGGCACTAGGAGAAAGAATCTTTATCACATGCTGGGGTGACTGCAAACATGGTTGAAGTTCTTCTCGCTTTGGCCTTGTCATGGAGGAAACATGGGCTCCAGAGCACAATGCTGACTGCAGAGTTTTCAGCCCAGCCCTTTGTTGAATGTGTTGGGGTAGTAGTACTGACAGAGAGAAAAGTGTCTTGCTAACCTTCTCTCATTTTACTTCCAAGCTCTGTATCATCAAATTAAAATAGTTACATTATTGTTTTAACATTTCTCCAAACTTTGGAAATGATTTTAATCAAGTCAGTCAGTCTCCTTAAGAGACAATCAGATTTCTTCCCTGCCTAATGGCAGAGAACAAACTCAAACACATCTCTGTTAACTTGACTCTTTGTCATATAGTTGGTTTGTTTGTTTTGTGGTCTCTCAGAATAACCTAAAATGGCTAGGTATTCTTGGAAAATGTAGCAATTTATTTGGGAAAGAAGATTCAGAATCTTACTTTTGTCCTTGTAATCTTTTGATCTGGACTTAGGTTTTTTTTTTATCAAATTAATTTTTGATTATAGATATACTTTTTAGTTTTATGATTCTCTTTCCTTGAAATATGTAGGTATGTTCTGCTATAGATAAATTGGGTTAATCATGGTCTATAAATGATTACTATGAGAAATTTTAAGAATATTTTAAATTGATTTTTTATAACATGGAATTACTACTGGGTCAGACACAAATAGTGTATTAACACCTAAATCTTTCTCCTTTGGTATCACACTGGAGATTTTGGCAGGCAGATGCTACCCTAGTCCCAGAATAAAACTAAGATGAAAAGCAGGCGTTTGCATTTTAGCAATGACAAAAGAAAATCTTATCAGAAAGCTGTTCCCATGTGGAGCTGATTCCTTGGAATCTGTTAAGCATTCTTCCCAAAATTAGAAACAAACCTATACGTTTAGGTACATGTTTGTACAGTGGTTTGATTATTAAATCTTGTCTTAATTAGGCAAAATGAAGACCAGAAAACTTCAAAGTACAAAGCTGATCTTCATAAGTTAACCCCTCTCAGCTTGGGTGTTTAGATTACTCAAGCAGATCTCCAGTTGGCTTTTTCGAGCTATGTATTCCATATGTTTAATCAAATAGCATATGCACTTTGGATATTCTCTTGATTTTGAAAATATTTTACCTGCCCTCAATTGTCTTAGGAAGCAGCAGAGACTGTTATAAAAGAAAACGTTGAGCCTCTATCCTATTTTGCACTATTCTTGATAGAGCCAGTAAGAAATGACTTGCTACTGTTCACCCTTCTTCTAAGGTAATGAGGGTATTTATTTCGCATTGAGTCAGGAACATAATGAAGATACCCAAACTAATAAATATCCTTATAAGTATATTGATATGTATTCTACATAACCATTTAAAAATCTCATTAGTAACAAATCACCATAGAAACTTATACCACTTCCTTATTCCCATGGATGAGTCTTTATTAAATCTATTTTCACTGGGGCCAAATAGTTGGTATCATGAAAACATGGTCCTTACTCAGACATTTATTAATGCAGAAAACACACTGTGAAAATATAGGTGTGACAATGATAGGATGGCTTTATATTTCATTCTCTTGCCTTTTGATGTTTTTTTTTATTTTTTGAGAAATTAATGAAGTAAAAAAAGCAGTGAAAACAAAGAAAAAAACAAGTTGATTTATTAGTAAACCAAGTCAGATTAAATAAACACAGTTGGCCTTCCTGGTATGAAATGTGTAATGCCATGTCTAAATTGAAAAGAATCTTTAGAATATTTTGAAGCATTCTCCTGGTTTTAGAAGCATAAGTGATACAATAGAGTTCTATTTATCATACTACTCTATAATATAAAAGTTATTATTAACCCTTCCAGATGACTCACCTTCCTATTGGCATATTCTTTAATGACATTTACATGGGATATGAGTGTGTCGTTAAGCTTATTTGTCTCATAACTATGTTGTGAAAACTCAGTGACTTATAGAAATAACCTTGCAATGGGCTTATGTGATATTTGTATTGCTATGTCCGCCAGCAAATAATAGGCAAATACAAAGGAAAGTTCTCAGCTGGAGAATAAACCTTGTCAGAATGATTTATCTCAGCTCATAAGTTTGAATATTCTATTTTCACTGAAGGTATTCTGGGAAGTTGTATCACATGAAAAATAATCATAGTTTACAACATTTCTTCTTTTGTGTTTTGAGACATTTACATATTCAGAAATGATCTAAACAATTTCTATTGCCAATACATGGCATGCTTGTGCTATAAGGACTTAATGTTTTGGTGTTTTCAAAAAATGAGTTTCTTTTGCAATAGCACCAATGAAGCATGGTACTTTTACCATTATATCTTTCTTATACTTTTCAAAAGAAAGAAGGGTTTTTAAAATAGAATATTCCCAAATTTACAAAAAAAAGAAAAAAAAACTAATAAGGTATCGCTTTTGTTGTTTGGGGGCTCACTTCAAGTTTAATTACTGCAATTTTTTTTTGTTTTCCTGGTAAAATGAAACTGATTTAAAAAAGAAAGACACCATATTTTCCTGAACAGATCAGTGATTCTAACCACTACCTAAAAAGTTAAAAGGCAACTCTTCAATCACATCACTGTCTGAATCATATGTAGGCATTTTCAACTATCATTCAGGTAAAATTGTTGAGTACTTTGACATAGATCTCTGCCATACCTTCCCACCCTTACAACTCCTTCCCTCTTGTGGTATTTATAGAAAAGCCTTGATTTGTGGCTAGCAGTTTCTGTTTTAACTAGAATTTTAATATCATTTCTGTTGCTTAGGTTTTTTTATATTTATCTTATATAATCTACTAGATTAGTTACTAGATTAGGAGATGTCTTCCTTTGTACTCACTTGAATAAACTGCTGAAATACTTGTAATTGTTCAGTAAATTATTATTGCCTTCTTCCTTTGCATACACACTGTTTTAGACACTAAAAAAATAGCATTCAATGTCCTCAGGAAACTTGTAGTGTGGAGAGCAAAGGGCAAACTACTCAAATAAACAGTAATACAATGTGTTCTGTATCAAGACAGAAAATATAAGAAAACAAATAGGCTTCTTTGAGGAAGTAATATTTGAGAAGTTTGTTGATTGTTTCATCCTTATAATATTATCTTTCTTCTCTTCCTTTTCCTTTTCCTTCCTTCCTTCCTTGCTTCCTTCCTTCCTTGCTTTCTTTCTTCTCTTTTCAATATGCTCTGTGATAAATATCTTATGCATTCCTATGACTGGAAATGAGCCAACACTTTTGAAAAAGCATATATAAATCTTGAGATGATATCTTATAGATGTCAAGGTTCAGTCTAGATATAAGTATTTATTATATATTTATTACTATGATGCTTAGACATTTTGACACAAGCATTATTTTATCATAATAAAAATATATCTAAGACAAGACCAGTAAATGGGAGGCCAAGCAGATGGCCCATGTTGATCTAACTTAAGCAGGTAGATGTTATACTCTGACAAGTAAGGCAGAATATAATTATGCTCACATGCTGGATCTGAGAAAATAGGGAGCTTCTATTAGTTTTTAGTGAAAGAAGTTGACCCTTTTTGAGTAGTGCAATCTTTATTTACTGTTTTTCAAAGTAATTTTCTGATATCAGTATTACCTATTTTTCATATCCCATCGTGACTCATACCCATGTTCTACCCCAACCATTCATCCCCAGCAATTCAGGAAATTACATTCTTCAATGCCTGTGGCCACTTACAAATGTAGAATAGTTGTATGTATTTTCTTGTAAAATGCTCCTGAAGAATGCTCTAACATAGAACTATTGTGTACATGCAAAATATATTTTTTTCAGAACTGATTCAAAGAACAATTCTGTAGGTATGTGTAGTCCAACAAAACATTTACATTCTTGAAGTCATAATTCATATTCCTGATCATCAGATAATATACTTCAAATTTGCTTTATGTTAATAAATTTATTTTTCTCCCTATGACTTGCTTGTGAGCAGAATGAAAAATTTAAACATACTCAGATAAAACCATGTACCAGTCTTATTTTGTGTGTGTGAACCTAATTCTCCTAGTGCAACATTTCCTCCTCTTTTTTGTGGTGTGCATCTCTTTAGCATCTTCTCATTTTATAACCTGAGATACCCAATCTAATATTTAAATACCATCAGCTATCTTTTATATGCAGGGTCAGCTCTGAGCTGAGCACTGCATTTATATTATCCTATTAACTTTAACAACTCCCT